TTTTCTATCATTTTTAGAAAACAGCCCAAAACGTGACTACGACAACTTTTCTGTTCTCGTATGGAGTTATAGAAACACACTTTTAAACCAATCAGTGTGCACATTTTTTTTTTTTTGAGCTATTTTCTAAAGCCCATAAAATGAGTCACACTGAAAAAACAACATCTTGTCGTCTTTCTTAGATGTAGGTTTGATACAGTAATATTGATTCAGTTTGATCATCATGCTTTACATGTGACATGGAACCTTGCAGATATCTTCTCATCAGTGTATTCAAAGATCCTTTTCTGCCGTCACAAATGATGCTGAAAAGTGTTGTATGTTGTTTGGTTGTCACTCTTGCCTTTGTTTCCTCTAGGTCCTAAAAATTAATTAAGAATAACAGTAATTTACTCTGTCTTTATAAACACCATGGTTACCAACAAATGAAAATGTCAATGCAGCCAAACAAGGAGAGGCCGAGAGCTTTCAAAATTCAGGAGTTTCATTATGGGCCAGGCAACTGAGCGAATCGACTGGCTGTGAGGATGATTTTGCCGACATGGTTTAACCATCTAGAGGAAAGTTTTTGTTATAAAGTTCAGTTTAAAAGTTTTGCCCACCTGTGAAAGCCAGTTGCCCTCCTGTAAACATTAATGAAACACCTGAAATTACAGAAACTGCAATATGTGATTTTTTTAAAAAAGCTTACCAGATTCTGAATAATTGCAGCTGACGAGTCCCTGTTCTTGCAAGTTAAGGATGGAGTCTGCAATGATCCTAGCTGTTCTTCTCTACCACATTGGAAAAAGTATTTCTCATTAGTAAGCTGGGAACCATGGTCTAACTTGTTCATTAGAGCTGAGATACTGATTTCAAGTTCTTGTCAAACCAACTTCCTGTACTATTCATAAATCATCGAATTTAACAAGCATGTTTGAACATCATGAACTTGAACACACCAGAAGGCACAGAACTGAAGTAGAATTCTCAAATCAAAAGAGCTAATTTATCTAAACGTTTTAAAACTGTTGTTTAGTTAGGAATATTATTTTATAGAAAAAAAAAGAAGAAATATTTATAGAACTTTGTTTGATGACCAAATTTCAATTACATGTTACAGCTGTTATTCTACCTGGTATCCTCCAGAAGTTAACATGAAGATTGGAATTCCTCTCTGTCGAGCCTCTTGAAATACAATCTGATCTCTTTCAATAATTCCCTTGGTGAAAAACATTTATTTTAATCAACATTTTATTTATCTTTTTGTCTGTTAGTGATCAGCACTAAATTTTTCCTTAAAATAAAAATGGTAGACAGAGGTTTAGAATATCATCTTAAAATTTGTGTAATAATAATTAACAAATCATATAAAACTAAAAGGCCCCTGAAGACACTAAAACCAAAAACAGGCTACAGATTAAGTCTGAACAAGAGGGGTAGGGGTGGGATTATGCTATAATTTTAGGAATATTTACAGACATTTCATATCGGGATCTCTAATGAAACTAATAATTCTACAATTACATTGTACGCGAAAAATACCAGCTGAAATGAGCTTCAAGGTCGCAGATTTAAAATTACAAATTATTAATTAAATGAAGCTTACCTGAGGTGTGATTGCCAAATTACCCAGAGGGTCCCCTATAAGAATATCGGTCCCTTAAAGAGAAAAATAATTTCAATATACAGAATTCCAAATAAGTAATTGTTTTATACAAACAATGATTTTAATAATAATGCTTTTGATGTCAAAATCCAAAATGATGAGAGTAGGCTGTATAAATTTGCAGGCTGGCAGATTAAAGATTTTGCAAAAGTGGCAGACAATTTGTTCTACTAACATTAGGTACATTATTAAAGTTGCAATTTCACTTTTAATGTTTCTATTTCTCTTTCAAACTATTTCTGTCAATCATGAAAGCCATACAACAGGGAAGTGCGGTAACTTACCAGCATTATATGCAATAATATCAGGTTTAAAGTCATTCAATGCTTCTGGAATGTGTCTAAAAAACAAAGAAGCAAGAGATTTTTTTTACATTCCTTAATGCTTCAGTTTGATGTTAACTCATACAATGTTTTTATCTGACCTCTGTAAAAGTACATAAGGTTGGCATAAAACATGATAAACAATAATTCAATAACAAATCAACTTAATGACCAAATGTATTTCTGATAGGAATATAATTAAAACAGTAAAAGGATTGAAGCATATCAAATGCTGATTGTTCTGATACCTGATAATAACTGAAATCCGCATGTACTACTCACTTTCTTAATAGTGGAAGGTATGTTTCATCATCTGTGTGATGCCTTAACTCTATATTTTTCTTTATTGCACCTGGAGAAAAACATTAAATAAATAAATAAATAAATAAATAAATAAATAAATAAATAAATAAATAAATAAATAAATAAATAATTCAAGTTGTTAAAAAGTCATTGGACCAAGTCAAACATGTCATCATTCTGCACTGGTTAGGCATTGTGAAACTTCCATCTGTCATCTGAGAAATCCAATGTCAGATTTTTTGCTTGCTTTTAAGCTGAAATTTTTATAATATTGCTGTTGGATTCTAGGAAAAACAGGCCACTGGATGTGTAATTGGGATCATTGGTTATGACATCTATAAATTTTAATTCCTACTTTCTGCAAGCATTGTTTCCAACAAACGCTATCTACATGTATTTAAGCTTTATCAAACCAGCAGCAAAGACTGAAATACGTTTTTGAAAATATTCACCAGATCTTGTTGACAGTTACCTTAGGCAGTGAAACAGTCAACATGGATGGAAATGAAATTCACAGAACAAACAGTAGACCTACTTTTGACTTTGGTATCTCCAGGGTAGATAAAGGCATTATACACATCTATTATGTAAACTTGTTCATCTCCATCAAAGTCTGCTTCATGACCATTTCCCTAACATGATATCGACATACAGGTTAAAATTATGTTACCCATAAATAACATGAATCTGGTCTAGTTTCAACCTTCCACTAAATTAATCCAGTCATTTGGTTAATGCTTTTTAAAGGCAGCTGGCTGGTTGGGTAGAACTAAAGTTTTGTTGAGGTTTTTGCACATATTCTTCAGCCTAAAGGAGGTGTTGAGGGGAAATATCTTCATCTACAGGTTGCTTCTGAAATATATACTATATGAACTGTTTACCTGATGGGCATCAAGATCAATAATCATAGCTCTTGTCACACTTTCCACATGCTTGAAAAGGAACTAAAGGAAAACCAAGTTGAGCATATGAAATAAGTATCAAACAAGTACACAGAGTGAACACAGTATGTAGCAGGACCCCCACCCTCCCCCCACCCCCTTCCTTACCATGCCTTGATACCTAAATAGCAAACTCAGAGAGAACTGCAAGGCTAACTTGTTGTGCAAATTCCAATTGTCACATTCCTTCCTGCATCTCGTCTTCCCATATATGAGTGTAATTGAAGCATACCGAGAAAAGTGATAAAAGTTACCAAGAATGTCACAGTGCTAAAAGTACCTTGATTGCCAATGTGATGTCTGCATAGGCGCAGAAGCCTCCTCCTCTTGACCCAGAACAGTGATGGAAGCCACCACCTAATAATGGAATTATTTTCTTATTCCAATATTATTCAAAAGTGTAACTAATATTGTCTACTTTTAAAACCTTGATCTTATCCAGATACTGAAAACAGAATCATATTCTGCATCTTTGGAAATCTCTGGAATATCTGTGGAAATCTTTGGACGTCTTTGGATAATTGCCCGACATGGTCAAGTCTTTGATAATCCTAGCAAATTTGGTACAGTGTATAAAAATCTCATGCCTGTCACTTAGAAAAGTTGGCAGACATAGATTGGACCTTTAATAATCTCTGTTGAAAATGAAGAAAACCTTTTTACTAAATTCTTACCAATATTTATTGCCCAGCCCCTTTCAACTGCGAGTTTAGCAGCCTAAAATAAAACAAAATGATATTGTCAACAGCCTGCGATTGTGTACATTATGACTATGCAGCAGCCCTTCCTGTCTTTTTTGTGTAATGGATAAACTCTGGATTGACAATGAAAACCTAAGATATAAATTAAACAGAAGCACTTTTTCCTTTTTTTCTGTACATTTGTCACTGCTATACTCATGTAACTGGGTCCTCTTATTACAGCATTACAGATCACTTTCTGACTAATAATATAATTCTCCGTTAGATATTGTAAATGTTTATTTCAGGAGTGTTTATCTATAGATTCTCTGGAAAACAAAGGTTCTTGATTCAGTTTTTAATGTTTCCACGGAGTAGTGACTAAGATAAGAGTTTATACAATACCCAATCACAGTGACTCACAAATTACTTAATTGTCATTTACAATTCAAGATGAATTTTGTAATATGTACTTTACCAGTATTGATCCCCCAGTCTGAATTCTCATAGGCTTGAGGACCTTGCGCTGCACAATAAAGTTGGGAAGAAGGGCCAAAGGGGGCACCTCACATATCATAGCAACACGAGCACTCCACTAGAAAGAAAATGTTTCATCTGACCTTGTTAATAAAACTTAACACAACAAGGCATTTTTGAGTGCAAATAATGGGTCAACAGGTACATGTACACTCTGCATTGTGAACCAGGTGATTGAATTGTCTAATTTTCTGTTAACCAAAGGATTTTATATGCATAAATCAAGCATAAATTAAGAGATGATAAAGTAGGATGACTTGGTCACACTGTCTAAAGAGGTGTACATTGCAGAGCATAAATTAATTCTCATTTCTAATTTTTCACAACATAGTACACATATTACAAGTGCAAAACCTACCCTAAGGCTGTCCAAGTAGCTTTGAGTGTGTACAACCAACAGATCTTCAGCAGTAGTTTCTCTAGGTACTACAACAGTTGTCTGATCCAACATCTTTGCATCTGATACAACACAAGTTGTGATGCTTATAGTCAGATAAGAGAAACAAGGAATAAAAATCTCCTAATTTACTTCTAAGAGTGAATTGGGCCATTAAATTGAATTTCTTCCATAAAGCACCTAAAACAAGTCCACATTCAATGGAGTCCCTGGATACTGGATGCTGCCAATTTACATTCCCTGCAGTAATTGTCATAAGCTGTATCCCTGGCAGTACATTTTTGATAAGTGGGAGATCCTTAGGTACTGGAGGTTGGTGGTGGAAGGAAGAAAACTGAAGGGCAAGCAGGGCTGCCAAGGGCCATAACCCATAACACCTGTTATGGCTGAGTATGCTCGATGTTATGGGTGAAATTGCCTGTTATTGACAGAATTCACCCACAAAGCAACAAGTTTCCTACGGGTGCGGAGAGCAAGGCTACAGGTGACTCAAAACTTAATGAGAGCCCTGGCAAGGTGAGGATGGACTTTACTACTCTACTCTAGAAGAAGGGCCTGAGAAGATGACGCTTTGTAGTTACAATAAGTGGGTCACTACTACTGACATAGCAAGAAGAAATGCCCTCTAACATGCATATATGTTGTATCATTTTCTTTTTTATTGCATATCATGGAGTACATAGTATGGTAATCAACTAAATGTAGGTCCACTACCAAGGGAGTTTTTGCCAGAAGTATGGAACATGTTCTGGATATACCTTTAAGATATTGAAAAACTTTTCCCCATTTTCCTGAATCAAATGGATGGAGCCTCTCCAGACCCAAGAAACCAATATTATAATCTGAAGAATACACAACAGGCCACTGATTGGCTTTCACTTCGACATACAAATGGCATTCCTGGGCACTGTGGAGAAAATCAAATCAGAAGTACTATTAAAGAAGATATGGAAAAACATTTAAAAAGAAAAATAAACGCTCTAACATGACATTTTGGCATCATCTTGTGGCCATTACCAAATGCAGATACACATAGGTCATACTATAGTAGTATTAATATTGGAATTTTTTTCGTTGAGACAACCTGTTCAATAGCTGTTATTGCAGTTATTGACAAACAAACAGGGCAAAGAGGTCATTTCTGCCTTTTGTTACGTGGCTGTGTCTCACAAAGACTGGGAACTACCAAATTCATGAATTTGAATGGCTGAAATCGATTTTGATCGCAGTCTAGATTTTCCCATCTGGACCAGCATTCAGACCGGTTACATTTTACCGTGAAGAAGTTGCAATACAAAAAATATTAATGATTTTTTTCTAAAAATATTTATTTATGGTACAAAAGTGCCAAAAAGCCTGATGAGAAAAAAAATGTAAAGAAGAAAAGCAAACTTTGGGAGATTTAAGCTCAGCTCATTGCCATTCGCAAGCAAAATGTCAGCTAGTACAAACCAGTTACATTACACGAATTAAATTTTTCTTGTTTGCCATATAATAAACATCTTATTAACCGAGCTCAGTCGGTTTGCATGGGAGAATCTTGACCTTGGTCTTGGTCAAGATTCTCCCATACAGACCTCCTGCTTGGTTAATAAGAGCTAAGTATTTACTCTTTCACCTCGTTTGTATGCCTTTTTAAGCAAAAAATATTTGACTGCCAGAAACAACTGCAATAAAACTTGTTTATTCCTTTTTGACAAATATGTACACGTTATGCAAATCTCATTAAAATTATTGTGTTGATCACACTTGTGGCTTTGGAATGAGAGGATTGGAGGATGCGACGATTCTTAAAAGGGGGGGAAGAAACTGATTCATTGCAACAAAGCAAGCATGTTCTGGCAGTGACTTGGATTAAACCTCTCATTTTTCAAACACCATATAAACGACCCGAGAATTGCCACATAACAAAAACGACCTAAATAGGATCCTTAAACCTAATGTTTTAAGAGTTTGATTGTAGTTTTAACAAAAATAAAGGTAAACCTTAAGTCATATTAACATTTTTCATGTTTACAGCTTGAAAACAGCTGTCATTTAGAACAGAGATAAAATAGAAAGCTCGTCCATTTAAACTCAAGTGATATCCTGGCCAAAACGTTTTCTTTAGCAAACTTGATTGAGGAAAACTTGAGAAAGATTTAAAATTAAGGTTATCATCACGTATAAATGAATATCGACAGACCATGCATATATTGAGCATCTAAATGTGAAATGATCTCATTCATCAGATCATAACATTAATATTTGAGGCCTTCTCGTTCTGTACTCACCCATTTTGTTCTTCTTTGGTAAGTTTCTTTAGAACTGACATGTCACGCCTAATTCGTCGATGAAAGGAAAGCCAGTGCGTTATGTCAAGAGAAACAGCATGTCGAGAAGCTAAAGCAACCTGCCAACGCCTCCGTACCAAACGATACGAGTCATGCAGACTAGCCCGCCATTTTGTTTTCACATCCAGGACTTCTCGGCTTAAGATTCCGAGTGTTAGAAAATATTGGGTAGGGATGGAGACCAACAGACACGGGTACGGGTGCGATTATGGCTCCTGGCGGTACTTGCTAAACTTGGAAAACGAAAGATTTTAGGATAAAACCTAGCGATAAAAACGACGTTTCGATCCCTCTAAGAACAAATAATTGCATATATGAAGAATTTGAAAAGCGATAAAACATGTAACTATGCACTAGGCTTTACAAAACGTTGGTGATAAAAACTCTAAAATACTAAAAGCCAGAGAAGAAAGGACTGTGCTAAAGACCCAAATGATATAATATATATAAAGTTTTGTCTCAGGCTTTAGGTCTTTTATAATAAGCACGCCCCAACTAACTGCCTCTTAGTCTCCGAGGATGAATTTGATCTGGCTGTAATCCTAAGTTCTTATAAAAGTCCTAAGGCAAACTTAGGACAGGCAGTATGACTCCATCCGCGCAGTCATTTTTATAGCACAGTCCGAGTTATATTTATTGTATCATTTTTTGTTTAACATAGTCCTATTGTCTTACCTAGCTTTACGTATTTTAACGTTTTTATCACTTATATTTTGTAACGCTTAGTGCGTAGTTACATATTTTATCGCTTTTCAAATTGTCTTAATTTTACTCATATATGCAAAAATTTAGTCACTTTTTAACTTGAAAATGATCTCAGCGAGACCGAAACGTCGTTTTTTATCGCTAGTTTTTATCCAAAATGTGTTTCGAAGGAACTGCTTAAATAGAAAGATACATTAAAAAAGAAACAATTAAATTTCTAAGTAAAACAAATCGAGAGAGTAAAAATCACTTGAACTTTGACTACAAGGCTGTACTCTGTAAGAAGTCCTCCAAGTTGTGCGACAGATTGAGTGGCGGAAGCTTACTGTGACGAGTGCGGACTGTCTTTGAATCACGAAACGCCTACTGTTAATGTCACGCAACGCCAACACGGAGTGAAAAGGAATGCTCTGCCTTGCGTCTCAACCTTCCATGTTTTTCTTACACAGTCGGAAGCGAAAGAAATGCTAAGAGAAGAACTGAAGAAAATATGCCGCAGACGGCGGAAAACCTTCGATTGTAAATTTGAATGGAATAGAGTTTAGGTGGGAAGAAACACACACTTTTTCTACTGACGTGGTTTTCTTTATTAATTCAAAGGTGCTTTCACACAGGAGATAATAAGTAGCAAAAAACAGAACTAAACTAAATACACTGGTACCACAGGGACTTCATATGCCCCAGTCAGATGCGTTATTGTTCTAACTAAATAGTAACTTTTCCTTTCTTTTTGGTATTTGTAGGTGCGCGTGGGACTGGTAGCCGCATACGGCACTTTATGTAAAGTCTACCGGAAACGGTAGCGCACATACGGGACTTCGACATCCTCATCCTCTTTATCATTGCAACAAAGCTCGAGGACCAGGGCTTTGACGTAAGGTTTAATTTTTTTCTTGGAAACCTTTTCCACAGCCAAAGAAACCCTGTTGAGGGGAAACGAGTGAAGAGAGAAAAGAAAAAAACAAGTTAGAAACCGCCTAAACTTAACAATCAAGGCAAAATCAACCGTTTCACGGGGGTGATAAAAACTAGAATTGATCGAGTGTATATGAACCGACAAAGGGACTGGATTTGAATCCAGTTTAAGTCTGAAATTTTTCTGACGGGGGTAGGGGGTGGGGAGAGTGACTGTGCAGTTGCTCTTTATTAGAGGCAAAAAAAAACAAACAAACAAACAAACAAAAAAAAACACACACAGACACAAAATATGTTCTCTAGTAAAAACCCGCGTGTAAAGAACCTACATATTTTGAAGTTTGGCAAAATAGGTTCTTGTATTTTGGGGTAGTTATTGGCAATTTAGACTAGGCAAGTTCTTAGTTAAGTTTTCAATTTCTGTGAAGGAGATAAAGTTGTTCATAGCCAAATAATAAATAAACTTGGGTTTGATCCTGAAATATACAGTATTTGCTCACAACGATATTATGTACATGTATTTTCTTGCAAAATAAATTTACAAATCTCACTCACATTCCTTGATTAAAATGTTTATCAGAATTTAACTGTAACCCACATATAAGAACCTGCTTGATCTTGCTTGGTTCAACATGTTCTTATATTTTTGGGTATTGAAATGCCAAATATCTGCCAGCAGTTTCTTAAACCACTAGGTTCTTACATCCAGGTTTTACTGTATTTACTATCAAGTTACTTACAGGGCACACCTTCGAGCAAAAGATAAAAAATCCAGCGATTGAAAATAACAATATCAGTGAGATTTTCTTTTTCTCGCGCAGTAAATTGGTTAGCGTGCTTAATGTATATCGGTGAAGAGTGAATGGAGGAACAAGACAACAAACGTCACATACTGTGTGGCAAGTCTTTCCTTCATCTTCGCAGGAGGCATGAAGAATGAGTACAACATACAAACTCCTTGGGAAAGCATAGTTACTTTAAGCTCGTGCTCATTCTAGACAAAGAAAAGAAAAAAAAATATTTGTCCTGATACCAGGAGACATAATCGGGGACGGAGACCGTAAGCGCGCGCCATTTCTAGTATTGGGGTTGTCCCGATGATATGGGACAATAATTCTATTTTTAGAACAAATTGCGCCATCGCCTGCGGCACACGCACGTACATGCTGCGAGGATTTTTGCGGATGTCGCGC